TTCCTTCCTTCCTTCCTTCCTTCCTTCCTTCCTTCCTTCCTTCCTTCCTTCCTTCCTTCCTTCCTTCCTTCCTTCCTTCCTTCTGCCAAGCATTTGGTTATAGGGAAGATATGTACTAGGGAGGCACAATTACCATTGGATGAACCTCAGAAGCATAAGAGTTGGAAAAACAACAGAGGATTCTTCAGTATGGAGTCCTAATTTTCATGTCAAACATCTCTGGCCAGCCTAAAACTTCAAACAGCCCTTAACTGTAAAGGCTGTCTGTTCAGCAATATCAATGCTGCTGCATAAATTGGATCTATTTATATACCTACTATGATATTCTGTTATTGATGTGCATAAAACTATGATCAACTTGTTTAGGGTTGGGTTCAAATATTGACGGATGGATCATCTTTTAAGATCCTACACTGAACAAAAACTACTTGTCCTCTACTATATGATCAGAATAAGCGAGGAAGTCTTTATGTGCCCATTTTTCTGGGAGGTGTGGAAGCTGGGGGACACAGAGTTTATGGAAATCAGATCTTATCTACAATATGCTCAAGCCAGAGACTAAGGGGGTGGTTGAATATCTGAAGGTCAAACCAGCTAGTACAAAGAGAATAGCTTTGGCCATTAGACAGTGCTAAGGTGTGTGCTTTTAAGTGAGGGAACAGTTGCTTTATACACCTGCTGTGTAAACTGAAGATGGAATTTGCACACCATCCCAGGTCTGAGACTAGTGTACCTGCTGTGATGTACTCTTCTGTGTGTATGTGTTATACCAAAGCACAGTTCAGTTGAGAATCTGTTTCTTGTTGTATCCTACGATCTGTAAAGTCATCGAAGCTATTGACATCATTCTCCAGAGACTTGCTATAAAAAGATATATAGAGGCCTGGAAATTTACAGAGAAGAACCTTTTTGTAGCTTTTAAACATAGCTATATTCAGCTGCAGGATTAAGTGGTCCTTTTGAAGTATCAATACAGAAACATTAATTGCACACTAAGAACCATGTTTGACTTTCATTCTTTGTTACTATAACTGTTTTTCCCAAAGCGGGATCTGCAGCAGGTAGATGGAGAAAAGCAAAGAAAATTAATAGATAACAGGTCATTTAAAATCTGACTCCACAGAGACATCTAGTGGTCCAAAGGAGACTTTCACTAGCTACTGCTGGTAATAATGTTGAAGCTTCTGTATCCAGCAAAAATCAGTAATATAATAAAAACAAACCTAGTTTTATTTATGGAGGTCAGTTAAGTTCTTTTCACAAAACAGATGTCCATTTTGGCCAAAGATAAACATATCAATATGTCAAGCATTTGCATTTCTTGGGAAGTGGCCAGACAAGTGAAATACTTGGCTGGGAGATATTTGGTGAAAAATTGCAATAGAAAATCTCATACATTTAATTGCATGTGACAAAATTTAAGACAAAATAAACCTATTTTTGCTGAAAAAATAAGTTATTTTTCAATTTTCTAATTCTTGCTTTGTTACTTGAAACACTGTGGTTCATGATTACTTATTGGGACTTAGAGGACAATGAAAGACAAAAGGGAATGGGCAACGTTCAAGTCTTTTCAATATAATTAAAATGAATGGAAATGCCTTAAAAGCCATGCCTTTTAAGATAATCACAGAAAATCTGGAGGAAAAGCTAGGATGTGCAGATGTTACTGAGAAAGGTCTATTTCTATATCCCACGTTCCCACATCTTCTTTCTCTTTTTGCTTGCGGGGATACAGTAACAGAGATCCTTGCTCCAAACAATGCTAATGTTCTCTTTGATGTTACTGTTACTTTTAAAGCCAGGTTAAAATATATGAAAAACATTTCTTAGCGTGAATTTCCCATTTTTCCAGCAAAGGAAATGATCAAAATGTCCTTGTCAATGTTACTTTTGGAAATGGCTTTTGACCACTCTCCTAGCTAACTTTGAACTAAGGCAAGACCCCAGCTATTACAACAGTAGAAAGCTGTTACTCTAATAGATTTAAGATGTATTTGCCAGCAACTAAAGTCAGCCATATGTCAGTGTTTAAAAAGCTTTTTCCCAATTCTTCAATATTTTCTTCACTTACATAACACTTATTTTTGTCTTTACTCAGGTTACTACAGGCAAATTCTTCCTGGCATGAATGTTCCAAATTCAAACACTCCTTTAATTGGTTCCTTATATTCTTGGAAAATTGGAAAAGGGTTTGTAGAAAGATTCTTAATATAAACCTATTGAAGGGCAAGATCAACCATTACTAATGTCTAATTTGTGCGTGTGTGTGTATGTGTATGCATGTCTATGTGGAGATAGAGAGAGAGAGAGAGAGAGAAAGAGAGAGAGAGAGAGAGAGAGAGAGAGAGGGAGAGAGAGAGAGAGAGTCAGTTAAGTTTAAATTTATAGTACCCTTCTTCCAAAAAATGACTGCACACTCTCCAAGCTGCTGGACTGAAAAATAGTGATGAAGCCTTCTAATAATTTTTCATGGGTAAGGGTTGACTTACAATTTGAGTTCTTTTTGCTAAAACAAAGAACTTTATCAAAAGCAAGAAAAGTAATACTTTTGGGGGCTAAAATATGAAGGCTCATAAGAACAGGAATCTGTACAACAATATACAAAAAGTTGAACTCTAAATAGAATCAGTAGGCTAAAAGCAAATTGTTTAATATGCTTCAATTCAGTCAAGAAGCCCATCCTTTAATTAATATATTTCCACTTATTTTAAGGGCTGTACACTCCTATGAAAGATGAGGAGCCTTTTCTAACAGCATCTCTGGTGGCTTCTAAATAAGCTGGAAATACAGTTTCCATAATTCTAGAAAATGCATTCCCAACACACCTGGAAGATGCCAGGGTGAGATTGATATATACAGAGTATAGGATTGGGGGCATGATGTTACACTCAGAAAGAAAGAATGAACCAATATGAATATGGAACCAGGACAAACTACAAGAGCTGTACAGGATCAACATAGAAGATGCCATTACTTTTACTCTCTCTCCTTCTCTTGGGACACCAAATTGAATCATTACTGCTAAGTTGGGAAGTCCAAGTAATTGTTCGGGATGTAATGTAAGAAATAGTGTCCCTATATACTAAATCTAAGCTTGATTGAATGTGTTAGAATATTTTATTATGCAATGCCATAGTATATACATGTACAAATGTTACATATACAGTAGTATTATCACAACAAAATCCACTTAGATCAGAGTGCAAAAAATGCAGCCTGTAGGCTGCTTGTGGCCCCCCACCCCCTGAAAACAACTAATTATCATTTTTGAGACTTTGGGGCTTTGTGTATTTGAGCAGTGAATGCAGTGAATTTACCCTTTGGGGCTTAATGCATTTTACCCTTTAAAAATCCCAATTCCACCACCCTGAGTCAAGCCCATTTTTAGAGTACAGCCCCCAACAAGCTCTTGGGCTGATGGAATTTGAGCATTCCTGTTTTAGATAATAAAAAAAGGCAAGTTGTACTCTGGCTGTCTTTGAATTCGTAGACCCAGCGTGCAATTTGAGCATCTTTTGCAACATCGATCATCTCATTTTTGAAACTATTGGCTCTCCGTACGCAGATATGTTTCTTTCCCTCTTATATAAAAACAAAGCCTAAGTTTTGCACAGCAATTTCAAAGACAGCTTTTTCCTTAAAAATATCTCTCACACGGATGTATAGAATTGGCACTACCATACCCTTGATGCTAAGAAAAAGAAAACTAAAAGGTGCTAAGGAAAAAACATTTCAAAATAATTGATAGAAGTTTAAAGCCTGGAAATTGTTGTTTAAAAATTAGCTCTTCCAGATTTAATGTGGTCAACTGTACTTTTTATTCTGAATATTTTGTTACCAGCAAATTTATAAAATAATTTCACAACACAGAAAAAATAGGTGGTCTCCAGTAATCAGCTTTACAAAATTTCCAAAATAGAAATACTTGTCACAAATATTTCAAAATGCAGTAAAATATTTTTTTACAATTCCATGAATTAATCCTTCTTTTTTGCTATCCTGATGAAGGAAGCAGTAAGAAAGCTGATTACTATTCAAACAGCTAATGAAATATTTAATATGTGGGATTCTTCTAAGCATTCTCTATTAGAGCTCTATCTTTTTGCTCCATGAGCTATTCATGTACATGATTTAAGCTATTTCATTTTTTAATGTTATCTAAAAATAAGAATCCTCCCCAGAGGTTTGTTGTAGTGCTGCAATTATTTTTAATCCTTAAATATAACATTAGTTTATTTTACTTCAAATGATATCTAATTGAAATTATAACTTTTCTGCCCTGTATGACATGCAACCTGTCAGCACATTATTAATATCAAAAACATACTGAGATAGTTCTTCTCAAACCATGATTCAAGCTAATCAAATACAAGAGAGTGTCACAAAAAAGCTCCAGGTAATTTGATTATGTGAAGCAATTCACTGGCGTATAAGAGTGAGGGAAAGGAAAACACAGTCAGGCTTTCAAGGTTCTGTTATTATAGCCTATAGCCAGTGTTCTTTTTCTTATTTTTAAGAAGCTTGATCTTCAGTGGCTTCTTCAAATAGTCCCACATGATGATTTCTTATAATTTTCTCCCTGTCTGTTTTCAGGAACAACTTCAGAAATTTAATACTTCCCTTCTGTGGATCCAAAATAAGATAACTCTCAGAGTCACTCTTTTGATTTATAATCTGGATGTCCTTTTAATTGTTAATTTTCTCCCTGTCTGTTTTCAGGAACAACTTCAGAAATTTAATACTTCCCTTCTGTGGATCCAAAATAAGATAACTCTCAGAGTCACTCTTTTGATTTATAATCTGGATGTCCTTTTAATTGTTAAAACATCAACCAGCATAATTTCTAGGTCCAACACACCTTTTTTTCCCATGTCACTCTTATAGTCGAACATTTTTAAGTCCCTTTTCAAATCCACATCTTTTTCTATGTCTTCCATATCTCTTTTATAGTCTGGCAATTTTTAAAAAATCCATTTTAAGATCCATATTCAAATCATCCTCAGCCTCTGTTTTATCGAATAAAATCTTTTCTTCTTCTACAATCTCTGTTAACTCCACTTTAGGAGCAACAAAAAGTTTTAAAAATCCTGAACACATTGTTCCCAAACCATCTTAAATTCTTCTGTAGTAAGATCATGTTTCTCCATTATGTTAGTAAGTATCTTCTTTAATAACTCTCTGGTTCCCTCTAGTTCCTTCTTCAAAGCCCAGTCTTATCTTGTGTTTCTTTTCAGAGTCAAAACTTTCCCACAGTACAGTTTCTTACATTTAATTCCAAAATCATCAGCTGCATTTTTATAAAATTTAAAACAGTCCATAAAAACTATTCTTTCAGATCCGTCTGGCCCCTTAACTCTCCACAGTCAACATTCTAAATTCCCTTTTGCTATTTCAATTTTTTTTTTCTTTTTAATCTTTAAACTTACTTAAATCTTCTTTCTTCAAGGATAGAAGGAAATTCTCCCAGTGTGCAGCAACCTGCCCTTCAGAAGGTTTTTAATTTCCAAATCAATTGATAATAAGTAGTTTCTGTTATCAATTAAAACAGGAAGTGTAAACAAATCTAATGCCCTTTTTAAGGCTCCGAACCTTAAAGGCTCGATGTTTCCCATGACTCCCAGAGTGCTCAACCCGCTGGAGATCGCTAGTTTGCAATCTCTCCACAGGGAGCCTCTGTAAGGAGCTTGTGGGTGATCCAGTCATCTCCTTTGTCCAGAGATGGTTCCGAAGAGCCGGATCCTTCGCCAGCTCTCGTCCACTGCAGCTGTCAGCTCTGCAAAAATGGAGCTGTCTTCAATCCGCCATTACTCAACAGAAGTCCCCAACCTCCAGCAGTGTTGATGGGGTGCAGAAGATTTTCAGTGAAAAGGAAACATTACCAAAAGGAGAAGGACCAAACATTTTTGGCCAATTTTTCTTTTGATTTGGCAGACCTGGGGAGGGATTTGGAGTGTTTAAGATCATGAATTCTACATGCTTCCATTCTTACCTTCATGTGCCCTATATCATTAAGTTTTCCCCATGCTTAATTTTATCCCATTGACCTGCTGTTCCCAAGGCCACAGTGCCCATCAGAGCTTCCAAATATGCCACCATAACTTTTATTTTCTTATTTAAAGAATGAAACTTTAGGAAGAAGGGTGAAAAGCAGACTAATTGTAGTTACATAAAAGATTTTGCAGTTGCCAGAAAACACATTGTTGATTTTTCGACACCACTATACTATTGAAGACCCAGGGTAACCCCATCAACTCTGACCTTCAGAGTTTAAAAGATAATTTCACTGCTGGAATCTTTACTTGGCTGAAACTGTACCCTGTATCTCCAGATGTGACTCTCCATGATTGAAATAAAAAAAGTGTTAACTGCCTTTTTACACATTAATAAGCACTGTGCTAAAAAAGAAAAGGTTTTTTTCTTTTGATTCAGAGCCAGTCTTTAACTTGGCTGAGAGAGGAGAAACAGTTCCAGAGAGAGAGAGGGAGGGAGGGAATTTAAAACTATAGAAATTGTTTTAATTGAAGACACTATTTAAATTTAGTTAAAAGTAGATATCATCATCCCTGGATTTAACTGAACAGCAGTCCTTTATTCTTCAATTGTGTTTCTTTTGTCTAAATTATACTGTATCCTATATCTAATTTTAAAAATTACAACATTTGTTGAATAAAAATAAAATATGAAAGGACAGAAACATTGTGAAATGAATGTCAATAAAATTTCTGAAAAATCAAGGCTCAAATTTATACATGATGTGTCATGAAATATTACTTTTTTGATTGCCATTATCCAACCAGTACAATTCCTTGTTTGCACAATGCATCTTTCTATATACTCTCACTTTCATAGTTAGCTTACTCAAACCAGTTAGTTTTTTGGTTTAAATGGCATAGGCTAACACATTTATAACTACACTTACAATACAATGTTTATTTAACATAAGCGGGTTAAAAAAAAAAAAAGTTATGAGCCATCCAGGTCAGCAGTATTAAAACTAACTGATCATGCCAAATAGTCTATCAGGTAAGTTGATACCTAACACTTTCCAGTTAGTGGTATTTGTTTCTGTTTCGTGTATATACATTTATTAGAGATATGCAGAGATTTGGATTCTAAGGGAAAAAAATGGTTTACAGTTCACATATCCAACCTGGTGGCAACTCGTTAAAGTATTTGCATACAATCCCAGAAAAAATATTTGATTTAAGAAAGTGCTAGCAGATATAATTGCATACCCATGTGAACTCTGGATTACCTTTTCCCTTTTGAATCCAGATAGGGATTCAAAGTTAAAATATATTATGTATACTGACAGGTTTAAAGCTTGAATTTAATCCATAATGGTTATACACTATGAGCATTAGACTAAAATATTAACTAATTAATTTATGCATGCCATTTTTTCTATTTACTATTTCACCTAGATGAACTTGGAGTACATAAACCAAATATATATTATGTAATATTCAAGACAGTACCTATAAAATGTTCTTCTTACCCGCTCAGTTGCTTGGGATACATTCTCCACTTCATCAACACTCTCCATTGAGATTTCTGTCCCAGGCTCTGACACTGTTCGAAACAGGCAAACAAGAATATCAGAATAAGAAAACAAGTAACATCAGCCCAGTAATATGTTAGCTTTTTAAAAAGTTATTTTGCACCCTCCCACCCCATCCACAACCATAAACAACAGGCCAGAAGCATGTTTCCAGTTGTAAACTAACTCTAGGTCATTATATGTGACTCACTGGAGCTACAATTGATATGAACTATAGTAAATTCCTAATGCAGCATATCAAATTATGGCTTGTCTAACTTACATAAGCACAGTTTAAGCCAGAGGTAAACAGATTCTTCCAGACTGAAGTCCACATTAGATCTTTGACTTGATATGTTGGGGACTAGGCTCCCAAAACAGTGGTTTTCATTTTATTTATATGTAATTAAAAATAAATAATTACTACTGACAAATTCAGACCTTAGCTTGATATGATCTATGTTTGTTATGACTTTAAACTCATTTTGCCATTAAAAAGAAGTGAAATTACTTTCTAGACTTTTTCTTGCCCAATAAATTATTTACACAATGTACTTTATAGGCTGCCCAAGGTCTGCCTTTTTGTTAATTTTACCAATACTTTGCATGATTTGAGAAATTATTATTAGATGAACTTTTCAAAAAATAATAGATATTGAAATGGTCTATTGAATGAAATATTTACCATTTCCTAGAGGTCATAAGGATTTTGACAAGGACTAATCTTCCTGATAAGGTTACTTCATGATAAATTGACAAGTTTAAGTCTCTATTCACTTGGGACTTGTTTGCGCTGTAGCACTGAGCTGATACAAGGGAGAATTATTTAGGTCTTCTCAAATATGTGTCCAATAGTTCAGAGTGCCCATGTTTCTGCACTGTGTACTAAGAACTGAACCAAAAGACAAATGGAGACAGTAGAATGGAAAACCCTTGATAGAAGATATACAAAGCCTCAAAGTGGTTTGACATTGCCAATCCCAATTTCAATGCCAATATTTTCCAAATTCAGAAGAGTAGTTACTGTGGACAGTGTCAGTTATTAATTCATGGAAGTAGAAAATTTGGCACATAAGATTATGTGGATTGGGGTTTTTGCTTTAACCAGAGAAACTCTGATGTTAGACTCCAAGTCCAACTAAGTTGAAAATGTAAGATGATTTTATTATGTAAAAAGGATTAGGAATTAGGAAAGTCATTTTATATAACCTTTTTGCATAAAATCCAATTATTTTAAATTGAAACCTGTATCACCATCCTTACACAGCTTTATCCACTATACATTCAGGTTGCATTTCCTGTTTATCCTTAGCACCCTGGAATGTAATTATTTCTCAGCATTGATTCATAGCATTTTTTCCTGAGCTCCTGAGGGAAAGGAGAGATACAAAGATAACAAACAAATAAATGAGGCAATCCAAAAACTTACCCATAGATTCTGATCCTTCTTGCTCAAATGTCTGAGAGACAACAGATGGATCCTCTGCTGTTTCTGTCAAAGTATCTCCTTGCAACCTAGATGATTAAAACCGAAGCAGTTGTTCAGTTGTAGAGAATATTTGGTACATTTTCCTCAGTAAGCATGATGGTAGGAAGCCACAAACGTGATGTTGTTATTAGAGTGGCTTTCTATATGCAAATATGGTGCAAATCTGAGATTGATGCTGCTCTTATCTATTCCCCTGATGCTATGGGTCTTTTGTAAATTGAGCCACTTGATTGGCCCAGCTCATGCTCCTGAGAAAATGCTACATAATGGTGAAGCATTCAGTACCTCACTGGCAAGTATTCCTAAACTCCTATAATCAAGGAGCCATGATACCTTGTTGTCATTCTCCTGTTGCTTTTGAATCACACTTTGGGATAAATTTGCCATGTGTCTGCAGAGCAGCCTGTTTGTAAAAAAAACTTTTTCTTTGCTGTATAAATTAAACTCAGCAAGGGAAGAACAAGGAGGGAAAGGATGATAGTTGGCTGCTATTTTTAGCGTTCCTCATTGGCCGGTTCAAGCATATGTATACGAAGATAGACAGTGAGGCAAACCTCCCAGAGGACAGGACTGCTTTAATGCTTCAAGGAGTGATGCTTCTTTTAAATATTTTCCACCCTCTAGCATTCAAACCACTGTCACTGCATCGATTATTCCTGCTTGGACTTCAGGCTTTCTCATATCTATGCTTCATATCAGGGAATCTATATTCAGGGGAGGAAAGCCAATGCCTGCCTGCCTGCAGACCCCTATCCCCTTTTGGGCTGTCTGATTGTTTGCTCTTTTTGGGGCTGTTGTAGAGCTTTAAGCCTCTTCCCACTGCCCACTGCCCCAAAAAGAAAAAAAAAAAGGTTAAACATTTTTAATTAACATGTCATTGGACACATGTCCGTGCAACCCTACCCAAAAGTTGACTACCCTAATTTTCATAACCAATAAACATAATAGTTAAGATTCTTAAGATTTAAAAAAAATTACACTGATCTTAAATCATAGATTTCCTTGATCAAATTTTAAGAACTTTCATAAAACTGAAGGCTATTTGTATTTCAGAAATCATATAGGCTAGTATAGCAAATTGAAATATTCAGAAACAAAAATGAATACTTTTGAAAAACCATTTTTTTTTGCCATTTTGGTTCATCATTAGATCTAATCTCATTAAAATCTGATTTTTAATAATTTGCTTTTTTCAAATCTGTTTTCAGTCATATAACAAACCTTTTTGTAACTTTTTAGAATTGCAACTTTTGGGTATGCTTAATCCTTAAATCTGCTCCTTTTCCTGAAAAGGGACAGTCACAGGTTCAGTAATATTTCCCCTTATATAGATTGTTATATGTATTTTTAATTTTCAGATATGGCAGTCTCTAATGTGCAGGGCCAGCTTTAGGCTACGACTGATTAGGCACTGGCCTATGGTGGCAAAGCTTAAGGGTGCCCCTCCTTCTGAAAACAAAGGCCAGAACAAAAATGTTTAATTTTTAAATTTAGGGTCCTAATATGTAAAGTATATATTTTTAAAGTATATAAAATGTTAAATCAATTGTTCTAAAAGTGCAAATCTTCACCTCAGCAGGAAGTGATACCATTAATCAATATGGCCTGAGACATCATATATCCTTGAGCCCGGCACTGCTGATATGCACTTTTAGGCATAATTTCCCTGGTAACTAAAAGTACCATTTATCTGTAGAACAATAAGAAACATTAAAATTATGACTATATATAATCAGACTCATTCACAGAATGAATCTCATGGTATATAACAGTACAATCTCTATATAAAAATAAAATCCAGACCACCCATTAATAAAAAATAAAAAACAAAAACAAAATACAGAATGCTAAAGTTCCAAAATACTAAACTGAAGGCACAGAAAAACAAATTTAAAACAATGATGCTGAAGAAGAACAATTTTTACACTTTTTGGTGTGGTATTATCAGTATGCTGATGATACCCAATTGTACATCTCCACCTTGTGCCAACCAAGTGATGTCACCAAGGGGCTTTCCCAGTGCTTGAAGGCAGTGAGGTTTGGATGGGGGAGAACAGACTTCAGCTCAACCTTGGCGAGACTAGTGACTATAGGTTTTAAGGCCCCCCAACTCTGGAGATTTTCCATCTTTAACTCTGCATGCAGGTACACTTCCCCAGTCAGTGTTAATACACAATCTGCGGGTCCTTCTGAACTCACAGCTCTTTCTTGAACAGCAGATGGGGGGCCTTTTCACAGGTTCATCTTGGGAATCAATTCTCCCATTCCTGGACCAGGAAGCCTTGCTCAAGATGATTTACACCTTAGTCACCTCCCATGTGGATTACTATAACATAGCCTACGGTCCTGCCCTTGAAAAGCATTCAGAAGCTGCAGCTGGCCCAGAATGCAGCAGCACAGGCATTTATGGCATTTCTCATGCTCATATAATGCCACTGCTCTGTGAGCTGTACTGGCTTCCAGTAGCTTTCTGGGATTCAAGGTGGGATTCAAGGTGTTGGTTAACACCTATAAAACCTACATGGCACAGGGCCAGATTATTTGTGGGACCACCTCTCTCACATTGTCTCTGCTTGGTGCACCACATCTAGCAGAGAGCACATGCTCCAGGCTTCTTCTATCAATGTCATCTTGTTGGACCTTGTCATGCCTTCTCTGTGGAACAACATCCTCCCAGAACTCCAGATAGCCCCGAACCTATTAGTCTTTTGAAAGGCTCTGAAGACCTGGCTGTTTCCCCAGGAGTTTGAGTCAGGAAGTTAGGCAAACTCTGCTGCTGTTGATGTGCTTTTCTGTGGTTGGGATTACTGTGGTTGGGATTATTGTTGAAATTATTGGGTGCCATGGGTTATACATTATGCTAGTTTTCATAAATAAATAAATAAACAAATAAATAAATCACTCCATTCACTTCTTTGCCATGGGGGCTACTTTCTAGATACCACTAGTGCTCTTTGGAATTGCTTCACCTGGGAAACAGGCTTCAGGGGATCTTGATCTTCCCTTGGGACAACAGAATTCCAATGACTGGTCTGTCCAACTCTTCTTAATCCCTGCCATTCTTTCTGCTGTACCTTCCTCCACCAAATATCATCCAGTCCAATCCATCTTGCACAAACCTTTACTAATTCCCTGTACCTAAGAAAACTCATATGTTTAAATAAGCTAATCACACCATTGTTCACATCATTCACTGTAACTAAGCCCACAACTGGCTAAAAATTCTCTGCCTGATGCTATCTTAAAAAACAAAAACAAAACCTCAAAACTTTTCTCAAGCCCAACGATTCCCATAAAACCTTTGGCTATGATAGCACTTCCCTGTTTACCGTCATTTTTACTTCTGCTTCCTCTGTTATTTCTATGTTCCATTTTTGGTATTCTTATATTCTATAAATCAGAAAGCAATAATCCCTGTCTTCTCCACTATTCCCCCCATGCAGATGAAGATATCCCTCAAACGTTTAGTCTAGAAGCTGCCCATTAGTGAGTCAAACGTCCACACAAACGTGAAAATTTAGACTCCAATCCTTTGTTTAAAATTGGCATGGATTGCTAACTTGTTAATGTCAAAGCTAGAAATTGTAAATTCTTGCCACTTCATCTTCATTCAGTTTTATTTAACCTTTATTTGTAAGATGCAATATCTCATCTTTATCAAGTAAAGAATTAATAATATAGGGAAAGGAAAAATACCATTCTTCTCTGGCAGCTTGTCTTCTCCACACCCCTGTTTTTCCTGTTTCTCAGCAAGCAGCAGGGGAGAGATTAGGAAGAGGAAACCACAGTAAAATTAATCAGGCCTTTTTTCAGTTGGTCCATGGAAAGAGTCCAGAAACAATAAGAAATAAAGCTATGAGGTTTGTGAACTGCCAAAACAGAGGAACCAAATTGTGTATAGAACATCTGGAAGAAACCCACAGGTCAGATGGGAAGACCTTGTTAGGTTGTATCTGGCTTTAAACACAAGAGATTGTTCTGTGACAGGAGGAATGAGAGACACCCACCTTACTGCAAGCCTTGGTAAGTTGATAACTGACCCAAGGTTTACTGCTGTAGCAATAGTACAAGCACTTTAGTTCTTTCCTTACGTTGCATCCATTTTCACTAGATAACCAGCTGTTCCAGTGAGCTGTCCATGGTCCTATCAAATTGTAATTTATCCTGGATATGACATTTGCTGGCTCCAGTCAGTAGCAGAAAACTCAAGCATTTAAATAAAAATCAGCAGAAGCCATAACTATTCATGCTTGTGCATGAAGACATTTATTTTACAAAAGTCTGTTTATTTTAGAAAAGCATATCTTTCTACAATACTGTACACGAGGTTTTAACAATCACATTTTCTACAAATTTAGTCTCATCTATGACTTAGACCACTTTGCAGTCTAATACTACCAATAAAATATGTATAACTTCATATTAATGCCAACAATACTAACATTATTAAAATTATATTAAAATAGTTCCATAGAAGGCTAAAATAATTTCTGTTCTCCCACCGACCACATTTCATTCTTCCAAAAAGGTACTTTGTAAGAAATCATAGAGTAAATATAGACATGTAATAAATAAATAATATTGACAAGATGGCTGCCATTTTTAAGTGCAAATTTTCTTAATGATTATAAAGCAGCTATAGCTCAAGTCTTTGGAAGGATGTAAAATAGAAAACAGTAAGAAGAATATACAGGTTGTCTTTGTTTAGCAACCACAATTGGAACCAACAACTTGGTCATTAAGCAAAGTGGTCGCTAAGTAAAACCTGACTGTGCTTATGATCTTACTTCAGTTTTCCTTTGCTTTACAGACCTATGAAGGTCGTAAATATGATGATGGATCATAAAGTTACTTTTGTCACCATCATAACTGTGAATGGTCACTAAATGAGGCAGTCACTAAAAGAGGACTACCTATACAAATATTTTAAATAAATAAAGCAAAGGAAATTGTTGGGCTTTTTATTATTATTCCACTTGTAATAATTCACAGTGGTGTTTTATTGTGCCATCCATGGGGCAGGGTG